GATTATTTATTTATTTATTTGACAGAGAGAGAGAGAGACCGTGAGAGAGGGAACACAAGCAGGGAGAGTGGGAGAGGGAGAAGCAGGCTTCCTGCAGAACAGGGAGCCCGATGCGGGGCTCGATCCCAGGTCCCTGGTATCATGACCTGAGCCGAAGGCAGACGCTTAACGACTGAGCCACCCAGGCGCCCCTCCCCCTTCCATCTTGGGACAGTGCTCCTGGTCACTGTGGGGACAGAGCCAGGGCTGCAGGCAGGTCCCATGCTGGCCCACTCACCAGAGATGTCATGGTAAAGCCAATGACCTCGAGGTAGCCATCGTCGTGCCGCTGGGGCTCAAAGTCGTGGTGCTCCCCAGGGTGGCCCCAGGGCATGGTGCCTGCACAGTACCTGAAGGGGAAGGTAACACAAGGGCCTTCAGAGGGCTGTCGTGCAGGGTGGAGACATCAGGGCACACACAGGGCCCTCCTGTCCTCACCTGGGGATATTCAGGAAAACAATGCACTGGGGTTTCAGGTCCTGAATCTTGGGGGTCAGGTCAGTTCCGTCACACTGCAGGCAGGACCAGGGGAGGGTGTAGGGTATATATGGTGCCAAGGTGGCCTCCGTCCCCGCTGGGCTCACCTACCCTGCCTGCCAGCTTGGTCCGCTTACCACCACTCGGATGTGCTTGGCCAAGTCCTTAGAGCTGCCCATCAGGAAGTCAGAGAAGGCTGTCTGTGGGCGAGAGAGGGCGTCACCATCTGGCGACAGGGACTTTTGCTCACCACTGCCTGGCAGGGGTCCTGTGGCCTGGCACATACAGGTATGCAGGGGGCACAGGTGGGAGAATAGTGGGCATGGCGGGGGGGGGGAAGGGGGGGCCTGTTGCTGGCAGATCCCAGACTCACCCCGGCATAGAACATCTTATTCCGAAAGCGGCTGTTGAATTTCTCTGGGTTGGCCTCTGGGGGGCGACAAGAACCGGGACAGTCAGTCATTCTGAACCTGCTGGGGCTTCCCAGGCTGGGGTGGGAAACGAGGGCTGGGAACTGCCAGGGGCAAGTTCTGACCCTCTCGGTACCCTCCTGTGTCCTCCCCTCCCCAGCCTCCCGATGCTTTCGCGGCAAGTGGTTGCCCACCTCGAGACTCATGAAATTCCAGGGTGACATGGGCATCAAAGCCCAGGCTGAAGTAGTTGTTGAAGACATCCAGGGGCAGCTGGAAAAAGGTCAAGGGCCCAGCATGAGGGCTGGGCCACACAGCCACCTCCCTGCTCTGGCCACCAGGCTGGCTTGGCCCACGCAGTTTTGGAAGCCTTTCCCACAGTTAACAGGATCCGCCAGAAAGCTCTTCCCTCTAGCCCGAAGCCTGCCTCCAGTTCTGCCCTCTCGGCTCCCAGCTCCCGTGGGGCTGCTCCAAGTGCCCCGTATACCAAACACCCTGGGCCCTGCTGGCATGCTCTTCCCTGGCTTTCCAGTCCCCCCACCCCCGACACTTTGTCCACAAGTGCCGTATTCTGTAGGGGCTCCGTGAGAACGGGGACTTTGTTTTGTTGCTGCTTAAAATGATGCCTGGCATGTGGTGGATATTCAGTAAATATTTGCCCAGAGGCTAACTTATGGGGTACCATTATTACCATCGTACAGGAGAGGCCGAAAGTCTGGAGAAATGAAGAGATTTGTCCAAAGCCCCAGAACCGGCAAGTGGGACAGAGGGCTTTCCCCATCATGGCCCTGGCCGACCTACCCGGTCAGTGGCGCCCTCATCACGCTCCTCTGGCCCTGCGTCGGGGTTGGGCTCAGCACGGAGGTCCCAGCGGTCTAGCTGCACCACATTCCCCTCCTCCACGTGGGAGAGGATCTTGGACACAGGCTCATCCGTGTAGCCCTGAGGGGACAAGGCAGGAACTGAGCCTCTCTTGGGGAGAGCCCCCCGCAGCAGCACAGCCCACCCCCACTCCCCGCCTCTGGGCTCTTACCCCACCCCAGTTGAGGGTACGGGCCAAGTCATTGCCAGTGCCCAGGGGCAGAATGGCAACAGGGGGTGGTGGCTTTAAGCGCAGCTGGTCCAGAGTGGAGAGGATCCAGCCGACCTGGAGGGGGCAGAGCAGAAGAGGCCAGGTCAGACCAGCGGGGGCCCAGGCTCGGGCCCCCGCTGGAGAGGCAGGAGGACTCACCGTGCCGTCGCCTCCACACGCCAGGATGCGCAGGTTGTGCACTTTGCGGTACATCTCCAGCCTAGAGTCAGAGGACAGGAACAGGGCCAGGGTACGTGCGCCTGGCCCTCTGCGCCAGGCAAGCCCTCCCCACCATCTCCACAGAGCCACGGCAAGTACTTACGCCTCCTTGGGCCCTCCCTGGCTCAGGTCAAAGACTTGTCGGGGGTTGAGATACCACAGGAAGGACTGGATGATCTTAGCGCCCTGTAGGGGGCACCGGGGGAGTCGGTCAGGGCTGGTGGACTGAGGTGGGGAGAAGCATGTGAGAAGGAGGACGGACGTGGCTGTGGGAACCAGGCCCAGCAAAGGGCGAGGCTCTGATTTCCTCAGGACCTCTGGGCAAGAGGGATGGGGCAGGAGCCTGCAATGGAACCTGGGAGCATTTGCTGGGGAGGGAAGGGTTGCGGAGCTTGACCCCGCTCCTCCCCCGGAGGCTTTCAATGGAGAGGGAGGCTGTGCGTACCTGGTTGCCCCCACTCTTGGGGTTCACAAACACCAGCAGGGGCTTCATGAGGGGCGACGGGGTGGGCCTGATGATGAAGGGTCTCCAACGGCCCTCCTTGGAGACAGGGAGACTGTAAGACTCTACCCTGGCTGGACAGACCTCACGCTCGTTCTTGGCGGTGCCCCCTCACGTTCTGCCTCCAGGGCAGACCTTAAGGTGGGCCTGGCCACAGAGAGGCAACTCGGATCTGGCCTCCCACCTTCCCCAGGGGCCCAGGGAGCTCAGTACTTCAAGAAACAGGCCCCTCCTTCCTGTTCACCTCCAGCTGCCCACCCAGCCCCAGGACTAACCTCTGGCCCTTTCTTGCTAGATTTCCTCTTGAAGGATGCTCTTTTTTTCTTCTTGCTTGCCTTGAGGGTATTCTGCAAGGGAAGCAGGGGCATTGGCGACAAGGCAGGTGGGCTGGGGCAGCTGGCAGAGCCCACGTGTGGGGGTGGTGTTACGGGTGCAGGCAGGACTCACCTGTGGCCTGCGGGCACGGAGGATCCAGGTGGGTGGGATGACCACAGCAGCGTGCACGCCCAGGGAGCACGGCTCCTCTATCTGTTGCAGCATGAAGCAGGACACCTTGCTGTGGTACTAGAAGGGCGGGGGGCGCAGCTGAGCTCAGCCTGAGCTGAGCCCTGGGGGCCCCCCTCGCGGTGTCACCCAGGGGACAGCCTCCGGGGGGCCGGGGCGAGCACCACTTACTGCCTGCTTGCACCAGGAGCAACTGATGGCCACAATCTCCTTGCTGTGGAAGGTGAACTTCTGCTGGAAGCCCTAGGGTGGAGAGGGTGGTTGGGGCACCAGCGGCCGGGCCCAGAGCAGCAGGCCCAGCCCCTCTTCCGTGGCCAACCTCTCTCCACCCAGGGAAATTGAGCCCATTTTTAAAAATTAAAACAACTGTCAAATAAGGCCCTGGAGCAGGGAGGCCTGCGATTCTCTGAAGTTACCTGCAAGGCGCTGGGTGCACACACCCGATCTGTTAGAAGGGGTCACAGCTAACTCCTGCCAGAGGAGATTCCCTCCTTCCTGACCCCAGACCCCGAAGCCCCCCGGTACATGCTTAAGAGTGCTTCACACTTCTTCACAGCACCTGTCACATTCATTCCCTTGTTCATTCCACAGACATTTACTGAGGACCTGCTGTGTGCCGGACCCCGTGCTCGGCACTGAAAGTGAGCAGAGGAAAGAGGGACGAGGCCCCGAGACCTTCCAGAGCCTGCGCTTACTGAGGGAAACAGAGCAGAAGCAGATGACGAGTAAGTGGCCGCCACGCTGTGGACTGTGCTCAGGAAGACTGCCCGCAGAGTCTGTCTTCAAGCCACAGCCTCCTCCAGGAAGGCAGGGACCTCATTACCCAGCTCGGGGCTCAGCACCCAACAGGGGCGCAACAAATACTGTGCTCAGTTACCAAATCAGTACGTCTATATACAATTCTCAGAGGGCTCCCGCACGGCTTCAAGGCGGTCCAGATACACCGCACGAGAAGCTCACTTTCTTCCCTGCTCTCCTGCTCCGTCCAGAGACCTGGGTGTTTTGGGACTGACGGGGCCCCTCAGCCAGGCTGGGAGTGAGCCCTAGGACTCTGCACTCAGGAGACACCGTCAGCCACGGGCAGCTCACACTGGACTCATGGCCCGAGGCTCGGGGGCCGCAGGGTCCAGGTCCGGGGAGGGGAGCGGGCTGGCCCACCTCCTGGGGCAGAGCCTCACCTTCCCACAGTGGCGACACTTGCCATCCTGGCGTCGCCGGTGTACCCAGTGGTGCCGCACAAAGGTTGGCTGGTGGAGGAGGAGAGAGAATCACCAGAGTGAGGGGTGGTGAGGCGTGAGCCCTGAGTGTGGCCTGCACCCCTCAATATATTAACGTGAGGCGTGGGGCTGCAGGAAGCTCTGCAGAAGCGTGAGTGAGAGTGGCTGGAGGCTTCTCTCCATGGCCTCCAGGTGGGGGCCGAGGCTCCGGCCGGGGGAGAAGAGCGAGGAGGCACGAGAGGCAGGCGGTGCCTCCCCCCTGCCCCGCAAGCAGGGCCAGCCAGGCCTTCCCCATCGAGGCCCTCTCCGAGCCTCAGTCCTGCACCTCCCCGCACCCCAGAGCAGCCTCAAAGGGGCACTCTGGAGACACTGCGGAGAAGGCCCCTCAGGAAACCTGGGGCCTCCTCACCCATAACTACCCTGGGCACTTACCTCACGGATGTTCCTGGAGCCTGATTCGCGGAAGGACGGCTTACAGCGGAAATTTATCTGTGAAGCATTGCAATGACCACCGAGATGTCAGAGCCTCCTTTCAGGGGCTCAGGCATCTAGCCACCTTCTCCAGCAAAGTGTCACTCAGGGTCATCCTCACAAGGCAGGGATAGCCCCAAATCATCCTGGGAGCCCTCAGAATGTGAGACCCCTCTTCTCAGAAGCCCTCCTGCATCCCTGCCGCCTCTCCACTAGCCAGAAGGACCCTTTCCTTCCTCTGTCAGTCCGCTGGCATGGGGGACACTGGGAGTGTCCACCTCCCCCACTAAAAGGCAGCACGCTGTGCTCCCCCCCCCAGATTTTCCCTCACCCTCTGGGGCTCCCAGCCGAGGTGCGTGCAGGCGCCCCGATCCTTGCTGGCAGACCTGCGCTGGCTGGTCCCTGGAGACCATTAGCTCATCCGTGGAAACTGGTCTGGTCTCCAGCTCGGGCTCTGGAACGCCTGGGGCTAGGTTTGTTTCTCTTTTCCCAACCGTCCCTGCTTCAGCCTTAGCACAGTTGCGGGGAAACCTTGCTCTAGGAGTCAGGGGCTGGGGCAAGTGGCCCACGTTAGCCTTGTTCATGCTGTTCCCAGTCCTACAGGCTTTCCCATGTGCTGCCTGGGGAGCCCTCCCACCCTCTGCCCGGACCTGCCTCCCCAGGGTTCCCTCTACTTCCCTTCGGAAGCACGGGGCCCAGACACGCCACCAGCTGTCGACACACTGCGGACAACCGTCCTTAGGGAAGGGTCTCTAGGGCAGGGGTATGTAGCGGACAGGGCCAAGCTTCGGCAAGACAACAGCCCATTCTAAATGTGGACTTCGGTGTGGGTAAAATGGTGTCTTGGCTGTCACTCACTCATTCATCCCACTAACAGTCAGTGAGCCCCACTCTGTGCCAGGCTTGTTCTGGGCAGTGGGGTAGGGTAGATAAAAAGGGGGGAGACAGGATTCAAATGCAGGCATTTCAGCTCCAGGGTCTTTGGCTCTACACCACCACGCAGGCTGGGACGCTCTTGGCAGGTGAGGCGTGTAACGTGAATAGGCGTGCAGAGACACACACGTGTGTGTACAAGATGCCTTCGGCACCCAAAGGGGAGGGGCGGGAAAGGCTGAGCACGCATCCTCACCTTCTCCAGTTGTTCGATGCAGGGGGTGTGCACCACGATCTTGCAGGCTGCACACTTTCTCCGGGACACTGATTTCTGCTGCAGAAAACGAAGAGAGGGCCCTGAGGCACCAGGTAACTCCATCCAGGATGCTGCCCCAGGGCAGGAAGAGAAATCCTTACATGTGCCCCGGCACAGCTGCCCTCTGTGTTCACTGGGAATTCGCAGTGCTGGCATCAGAACACAGTCCCCATTCCTCCTGCCATCCTCAGGCAGCCCTCAGCAGGGGCGCTCAGGAGAGCGCCTTGCTCCCACCTTCCCTGGAAAGGGCTACAGCTGTCAGGCCAGCAGAAGTCCGCCTACAGGCTTCTAGACCCGCTCCACCAGCAGGGGACAGCGTGCCACCCAGGGCTCACTCACCAGCATCTTAGCTACACAGTACTGCTCCCCAACATAGCAGAAGTCCCCCGACACGTTGGTCTCGAACCAGATGTGTTCCCCATACGTCGCGGACTCCTAGACCACGAGATGAGCGTGCTCAGCGCAAACCTGCTACCTGACTGATGGTAGGTAGCCCTACAGACTCACCTCTCTCCCAAGACAAACCTGCTCCAGCTACTGCAATCTACTCTGCTCCATCCTGTTTCCCCACTGTCCCTATTTTTTTTTTTCTGAAGATTTAAAAAGGTTTTTTTAAGTAATCTCTACACCCAACGTGGGGCTCAGACTTACAACCCCCGAGATGAAGAGCCGCCAGCTCCACCAACTGAGCCTGCCGGGCGCTCCTCCCACTATCCCTGCTCTTGAGGGCTGGGCTGAAACGTGTCCACCCCAGCAGGTCTGCCCTGATCCCAAAGGCCCATGGGCTCCTCCCGCAGTTGCCCCCCGCACTTCCCTCCACCTCCAGCTGCTGCCTTGGTACCCACCTGTCCCTCCCTCCCAGCACCCTGCCACTCACGCTCCAGTCCACAGTGCTCCGGATCTGCCGCTCTGGCTCGCTGCACAGGGCCCCGGGAGTGGGAGGAGGGGGTGCCAGGTGCTGGAGGCCCGACTTGGTGATGGCTTTCCTGCAGAAAAGGAGATCGCTGAGGCCAGCTGAGCACCTGGAGACTCTGCTTCCTTCCCCCCCTTACCTGGGATCTCTGCCCTCACTGTGACTTCAACCCCTGGCCAAGACGGGGACCGCAGTGAGGAGGGTAGGGGATGCCCCACGGCAGCCTAGGGCTCTGGGAGGTTCCCTGCAGGAGACTTAGCCCTCCTCACAGCCCTTGTGGGGTGCGCTGGCTTCCAGGCACTGTCCAGAGCTATTCCCAAGAGGGGTGGGGGGGCGGGCCGCAGGCCAGGCAGAGCCTAGAGGTCCTTCCCCCAGGCCAGCGCCCTCGCCCTGCCAGCCGCAGCTATACCTACGGAAGCAGGGCACTCCAGGTCTGGGGTCCTGCTGACTTGCGCCGTAGGGCCACCTGGCGCCTGCGGGACAGCGGGCGCGCACGGGCGGGCATCAGCGCACCAGCTGTGCTGCCTGAGGCTCTTCGGGCCCCAGGGCCAGGGTGCTGGCTGGGGGGCTGCTGCTGGCTGAGGCGCCGATAGTAACCATGCAGGCCCCAGAGGGCGCGGTCATACACCACGTCCGCAGGGACCAGGGGGGCCGAGGCCCGGCGCCGGTGCAGGCAGCGAAGCATGGGCACGAGGGTGCCCCGGTGTGAGGAGGGCCCTGGTCTCTTGGCGCCCGGCTGGGGGGCACTCAATGCCGCAACGGCCACGTCCTCCTCCTCAGGCATGCCTATGAGCCCAGCCAACAGCAGGGGTGTGCCCAGAGGCTGCGCCCCGACCGTGGCAGGCTGGGGGGCGGGCACCTCATCCACGACGAAGCTGGGGTTGCAGGCAGGGGGCACGGTGCTGGAGCGCCGGCGGCTGGTGCCCCGGGCCCCCACCCCGCAGCTCAGGAGGCAGCCCTGAAGCTGTGCGCTGGAGCGGCGCCGCTGGACCAGCAAGGAGGAGGCCTGCCCGGCAGGGGAGCGGCGTCGGACCTTGCCTGTGGGCAGCCCCACGCTGCTGGGCCGCCACTGCCCCTCCCCAGGGCCCGGCGCCTTCCGCTGGAAGCGTCTCCTAAAGAAGGTCTCCATGGCAGGGCCAGGCGGACGGCTGTTGGGCAGAGACCGGGAGCATCAGGAGCTGGGCCAGCCTATGGCCCACCCTGCGCCCAGGAGCCCAGTCACAGCCTCTGCCCTTTGAGCAGAGAAGGGACACAGGGGGAAAGGGGGAGGGCCCACGGCCTCTGACCTCCATAAACACGGTGTTTGAGGATACCACGGAATCCTCAGGGGAGCCCACATTTACCACTGCCGGAAGCACTAACACCCCGTCCCCCCCCCCCAATTATACCCTATGCTGCCCCAGGAGTAATGGGTACAAGGGGCTTCCGGCCAGCCATGCGGCTCCTCTGTCCAGGCACCATAAACCACAAAGCCCTGGCCTTTGACTCCCTCGCCTGAAGCTGATGGAAAAGAAAAAAAGGAAGCTGAAAGCCCGCAGTCCTGGGTTCCCGGTTGCAATCGGCCTCTACAGACGGAGGGGCCAAGGATAAGCCTTTTCTTTTCCTCTCATTGGGCCTTTGTTTGGCTACCGACTCAGGGCAGCTTAGGTTTAGGTGTCCCCTCCTCGGACATGGCACAAACTAAGCTATGATAATAAAACGAGGCTCTCTGAAAAGAAATTCAGTCCGGGTAAGATCCCCAGAGTCTCTCAGCCCCAAGTCGTGGGGTCAGGCTGAGAGTGGCACTAGAAATGGAGCCAATCTGACTTAGGGATCAAAGGACCCTGGGGACCAAGGCCGTCAGGACTGAGGAGAGCCGCACAGGGGGAGAGCCACCCTAGGCCTCACGCAGGGCCACTGTGTATGGGGAGCAACAAGAGGACTGAGCCAAGAGAAAAGCCTTCCAGGTATGTTCTGGGTGTGCATCTCTACCTCTGAGCGGCTAAAAGAAAGAACTTTCCTGTACTAGACTGCTCTGTCTTACCCTTCTGCAGAGGCCTAGTATGGATCCCCCATGTGTGAAAGTACCGGCTGATGGGGGATGTTTGAACACCCTTCCAGCCCTGCTGCCAAGGGAGCCTGTGAACTGCACTGTGTCCGAGGGGCCAACGCTGGGAGATCCAACTCTCCGCCCCAGAGTTCCCTCCTGCAGGGAGGCAGAACCCATGGGGACCATCCTTCCTCAAACCATCCTCCCTTGACCTGTGCTGAACACGGGCCCAGCTTCCTTCACCAGCTCACCTACTCCCGGCTGCCTCTTCTTCACAGGCTGCTGGGATTATTGCACCCTCACTTCTTCCGAAGGTGGGGGAAGGGCAGGAAGCCTGGTAGGCTTGGGGGCCGGGAGGGGAATGCCTCCAGAATGCCCAGGGATGCCTGTGCCCCGCCATCAAGTGACCTCCTGGGCCCTGGCAGCCACAGAAAGGTCAGAGCCACAGCCATGGGACATCTGCCTGGGGCTGACAAGAGAAACCCGTCCGCCTGCTGAGGGCCTGGCAGAAGTCAGGCGTGGTGGTGGCTGGGAGCCTTGGACAAATGGTGGTGGGTGCTAGGCTGGAGGACTCAGGCCCGGGCTGCGTGTCTACTGCCTGTTTCTCCCACCACCCGCTCACCCACTCTTTAATCCACGACGACCCCGGGAGTCTGGGCAAGCAACGCCAGGCCCTGGATGGGTGTGGGGGTGTTCAGGGAGAGGCACACGGGGCCAAGGTATCCGAGCTCCCGTGATCAGTGAGCAGCGGAGGCAGTGTGCCGGGGGGAGCAGTGCTCGAGACTGCCTGTTACAGTCCCCGGCCTCTGCAGGGGACAGGGAGAAGGGCAGGAGGTAAGCTCTGCGGGTAGGAGAACGAGTGTGGACAGAGAGCTCTCGGCTTCCTACTAAAATCAATAGCACCACAGCTGACATGTTTTGAGTGCCCACCATGTGCCAGGCACTCTGCTAAGCCCTTTACAAACACACGTATCATTTTATAAACCAGAGCAACGTGGAAGAATAGGTACTGCATCCTGCCATGTTACTGATGGGAAACTGAGGCACAAGGAGGCAACTTGCCCGGAAGTCCACAGCGAGTCAATGGGGAGCCAGTGACGGAACCCAAGGCTGCGTGAAGGCAAAGCCTGTGTTCCAGGAGCCACAGTGGAGAGTAGAGTCTTTCCTTCTGGGCCATGGGGCTGGGACTGAGCGGGGATGGCGCAGGGAGGGGAGCCCTAATAAAGGCAACAACGGCCCCATTGACTCAACACCTACAATGGGACAGGCCCCGAGCTAAGTACTTTCATTTATCATCTCACTTGATCCCCACCACAACCCCACGAGGCGGGCAGGGTCAGCGGCTCCGTTACAGAAAGGAGGCCTGAACAGGTGCAGTACGTGCTCCAGGTCACAAGGCCAGTCAGTGGCAGAACCGCGACCTGAACCCAGGGCTGCCTGACTCCGGTCTGCTCGGCACCCAGGAAGAGAAGCCCGAAGGCCCAGCTGCCCGTTGCTGCCTGGGTGCTGGCTCGTCAGCACTCCCCCGGGTGTTGGCTTTCCCCGCCCATCTGGTCAGGCCGCCCTGTGACAGCTGCCCGGCCTGGAGATTAGTCACCCGGACACACCGCCTGATGCTAGTGTCACCCAGAAAACAAAAGGCCACAGTCGGCAGGGGGAGGTGCTGCGGACACTCTGTGAGCAGCGATGAGGCCTGGGCCCTGCCAGCTGCCCCAGACCCACGCTGACAAGAGAGGCCTGGAGTCGCATCGGAGGCCTGGCGGCGCAGTCACTGCGAGCGGGGCGCAAGGCGGGCTAGGCCAGGCCGCTGTTGGGTGACCTCGTGCAAAGCCGCCCCCACATGGGCCTCAGTTTCCTTGTTTGTCCAAGGAGGCTGCGAGACCGAATTGATATTTTGTGACAATCTGTCCTGCACGGTACCCGTGCCTCTATGTTCCCAATGCCCCCTCCCCCCAGGCCCCACGCTTCCTGCTGCTCTGGTCTCCAGAGAAACCGCTGTCCTCTGGTTCCAGACTTCCTATCTCTGCCGAGGCTTCTCCTGGGTCCAGTCGGAAGCCCCCCCGCGGGCCTCAGGCCCCAGCCTCTCCCCACCACGCAGCCCCGAGGGGCGCTGTCTTCGCACCGCTCTGCTTGCCATCTGCAGCAACCCACGCGCTACGTGCAAAGGCCACTGGAGGAGGCCCCCCGGGGTTCTGACACCAACGGCAGAGCAAAACGGCTACCCCTCAGCCTTCGCGTGGGGGACCTCACACCCAAAGGGGACAGGGACCTCCAGCTGGCTGTCGAGGGCGCAAGGAGAACTCCCCAGCTCCACTGGCTACGGGCTAGAAAGAACCAGACTCCTGGCCTCCCAGCCCAGACCATCTCACCCCCTATGTTAGTTTCAAGTGGAAAAGCCCAAGGGCCTTGGAATCCTGCATCTGCCATTGCTTTCCCGGGTGTGGATCGACTAACCTTTCTGATCCTCAACTTACTCCTCCGCAAAATGGGGATACCACCTAGTTCAGAAGGTTGGCCTAAGGGAGGTTCTGATAAAGTACCTGGTGATACCAGGCAGAGGGGAGGGGCATGGCAGAGCCTACACCCGCAGTAGACACAGGGGTATGTGGATCGTGCCATCTCCTGGGGTTTGTCTCTGCCCGTGGCGGGAGTGGGAACCCAGAAAGGGAAGCAGGAGAACCCGGGGTGGCCACCACCCACCACATGAAGAATAGAGCCTGGCAGCCAGAGTCCCCTGGGGGTATCTGCCCATGCTGTAAGGGATGCCCTCTGCCCCTCATACCAGGCCTGGCGCCCCAAGGTGCTGGCACAGGACACCCTGTGGGATGCAGCCAGGGTTCCCATTCCCGGCTGCGAGCAGGGCCCCACATGCCCCTCTCCTCAGGGAAGGCTGGGAATGGTGCACAGTGGCCCCATTTCCAGCAGCCCCAGAGCAAGGGCCTGGCGCGGCCTCCCTAGGGGGATACTGGTCAGAAGCCACCTCTGGTGCTCTGCTCTCACAGCCCGAAGGTCAGAGGGAAGGAGCTGGGGACAGCTGGAAGGGAGGCCTGCCTCAGGGCTGGTGAGACAGGGTCCCCCTTTCCCAAGGTCTTTACTTGCTAAGAGGAGCCTGCCCAAAACAAAACAAAACAAATGTGCAGCGGGGAGCAGGTGGCCAGGGCTGCACAGGAAACAGCCAGCAGGCCAGTAATGTTTACCTCCACGGGGCCTGGTGGGGGCAGGCACCTAGCCCACCCTTTCCCTTCCCTTCCCTTCCCTTCCCTTTTCCATCAGCTTCAGAGCCTCATCCAGGAATGGTGGTGCCTGGGCCCACCCTGATCCGTTCCTCCCCAGACCCACCCAGACAGCTACAGGAAGGAGGAAGCAGAAGGCAAGGAAGAGTTGGGGGTGGGGTGGGGGTGAGTCCCCTTTGACCTGATCTGGAAGGCAGGGTGGCAGGCAGGAGGTGGGCGAGCGGGTGGGGCCTGGGGTCCCTGTGGGCAGGCGAGCCGGGGCTCTGGCTGGGGCTCCAGGCTGCTGGCCTGTGGCTGAGCAAGTCCTAGTTTGGAGAGCGAGCCGCTGTGGCTGCTCCTCTACCCCCTCCCCCTCGCCACCCTCCTCCCCCGAGCCTGAGACAGCCGTTATGAAAATAACCCGATTGGTAACCAACTGCACTTCCTCTCCCAGCGGCCGCTCCAGGCCCTGCAGCAAGCAGGCGGCCGGTGGGCGGCCTGGCGCACACGCGCACCAGTCCTGCCTCCTGGCTTCTCTTCCCGAAGGCCCCAGAGCCGGGCTGAGCAGAAGCCCAGTAGCCTCCCCTCCACCTGGTACCCAGGAGAGCACACACAGCCCCTGCCTTGGCTCCTGGAGGAGGTCTGGGCAGGCAGACGTGGGGGGTGGGGCGTGCCCCTCTGGCTACCTAATGTCCTCTCGCACCCACTGGACAGGTGTTCTGGGGTCTGGGGCAAGCGTCTGAGACAGCTAATCACTGGCGCCCGTCAAAATAACCACAAAAACAGATACCCGTCGAGTCTTTCACAACTTACAAAGCACTTTTTCACAAGCATTATCAGACAGGAGGCTTGTGATTCTGCTGCGCGGGTGGATTATCGTCCCAGCTAGCCAACAGGGCACCT